TTGTCCTATTCTTCTTCTTCTTCTTTGTCCTATTCTTCTTCTTCTTCTTTTTCTTCTTCTTCTTCTTCTTTGTCCTATTCTTCTTCTTCTTCTTTGTCCTATTCTTCTTCTTCTTCTTCTTCTTCTTCTTCTTTGTCCTATTCTTCTTCTTCTTTGTCCTATTCTTCTTCTTCTTTGTCCTATTCTTCTTCTTCTTTGTCCTATTCTTCTTCTTCTTCTTCTTCGTCTTCTTCTTATTCGTCTTCTTCTCCTCCTCCTCCTCCTTTTCTTCTGCTTCTCTCTCCGGCTTCCACCTAGCGTGCACATCAACCTCCCTTGGGGCAACCTCTCTCCGCTTCCGCCCTGTCCCCTTCCATGCAGCGGCCTGCTGTCAAGCCAGAGGCTCATACATAGTACCGGGGGCTACTTTGCTGGAGGCGGTACTCATGTGGTATCCGGTCAACCACCTAAAGTGTACATCAACCTCCCTTGCAGCCACCTCTTAATGGTCGGCGGGCTTACTGAAGGCAATTGAATAACTATAAGACATACACAAGCATATGCAGAAAGCATAAGAAGAAAATATTGGACAAATCTGCAAAGGGTTTTGGAAAAGATGATCTCCGAGGGTTTTGGAAGAGTTCAATTCAGCTTCCTCCTGTTTCATCCTGTTCCGGGGTGCTTCCAATGAGATCCGCGGGAACTTGCCAAGGCCTGCATCTTGTCTCATGGAGGGCATGAAATGCCCTGGGAAATTCTCGGTTTTGCTATTTTGCTCCACTCATCCAGCACAACTCAGCACAACTGGTTAGACAAACCGAAGACACCAACTATTCCAACTTGAATCTGCCGGATTCTGTGGACGGATTTGTTACTTTGCCAGCACTTCAACGGTTCATGACGCTGTAATCTGGTCACGCCATCTTCGCTGACAACGTTTATTTGTATTGGTGCTTTGCACAGGTAAAGCATCTGGTTTGCTGACACATCCAGTCAAGAAGTGCAACTCTGTGTCGCACTATGAGAAGCTTCGGCACACAACCCTCTCGTTCCATGCTGTGCCCATAGTTGCCTTGGCCTACAAGTTGGAGATAGCTGGAGTACATTGTTTCAGAGAGGCATCCCCAAGCGCTCCCTTCTGGAGGAGGTTGCATGAGAAGCTTGAACTACAAGTCATCTACATTTCAATGGTTCAGCCTGTCCCAATGCGGGGCAAGCCTGGACCGCTTGTACTTTACACAATCGAATTGATTTCGCTCGCTGCAACACTTGAAGCAAAATGACAACAAAGGTCACACCAACGGTTGTCTTTGCCTTAGATGAACATATACATTTACCGCACAAAAGTTGAGAAATCCAGCGGAAATGCAAATCAGCCCTTGCTGAAACACCATGCATTCCTGCTGGCATCCCTTGGCGATCAACACAAGTTTCCTCGACAAAGTCTCCAAGTCAATGGAGCTCATGCTTTCCCTCACAGTGAACTCAGACGGTCCACAGACAGATATCGACAGATTGGGATTTATTGTTCATTGGACAAATCAAGGCAACTGCTAGGGTTGCAGTGAGAACGACCCCCAAAAGTCCCGACAGCCCATGTGACAGAGCTGCTCGGATCCATTCGCTGGCTGGACGCTCTCATGCAAACCTAGGCAACTACTAAGCATGTCCTAGCAAGTCTTGTGAGACAGGCCTGATTATGTTCTTTCCCTTTGACAGTAAAATTGTTCTTTGACGGTAGCAGTAGTATGTATGTTCTTGAACAACGCAGAAAGATGGACCAAGTTAGGTCTTGTCTCACTGCCAAAGCATGACGTACTCCCAAGCACAATTTGCGTTGCTGCACAGGTTCATGAGGTTGTTGATTTTTGCTTGCAATTGGATCAAATAGTGCTTGAAAGCATGAAGAACCCTGTTCAAACTTCTCCACTCAATTCCACTTCCAAGATGGCAAGTCATCCTCCGAATCCTCCTGGAGATCTGCCCAGCTTACCCTGGGTCTTGCCATCGGTGCTGGTGGGACCGCCCTGAAGTTTTCCATCTCTTCCTGACAGAACTTCCACGTCCCGCTAGATCACACAAAACCCACTCGCCACGATCACTACACTATCATTGGCTATATACCTACTTTCACATACTTTCACCACTTCTAGCCTCTTCAGCAAGATCGGCCCAGGACACTTTCGCCCCAGCGCCCGGCCGAACCGGCGAAGGCGCGCGGGACTCAAAGGCACTGTCCAAGGGTGAAGAAGATGCCGACGGAACCTGGGTCGAACCATCCGAATCTTCACCTTGGAGGTGAGATGGCTGGAGCACAAGAGTTGCAAAAAATGCAAAGGTTGGAACATTGTGGCAAATTTTGAAAAAGGAGATCCCTCGACTCAACCTTCAATGACGAAGCAACCCGATCTGAAACTACTCAAACCACTTCAGGATCACATGTTTTGAACCTGTTCTCTATTTACTGTTTGTATTCGACATCAATATGACAAGGTGCAATCCGACGAGTCATCCCATATGG